CCGAGCAGGGTCATCTGGCAGTCTCCGGCCACCTAAATTAGGACCCGGAGACTGCCAGATGACCACGCTCGGAGCGCCGCCCACCGGAGCAACAGTGGCGCGACGCTCGGCGAGGTAAGTAAGAAGAAACCTGACCATTGAGACGCTGACTCGAGTATAAGCCGAGGGGGGCACTTTTCAGCACAAAAAATGGGCTGAAAAACTCGGCTTATACTCGAGTATATACGGTAGTTGTTTTTGATTATGCATAAAAATGTATAACGGACCGTAAATTACCCATTACCCTGTCATACATTTTATATCCACTCCATGCAACATATTTTTACATAAGATGCATTCTCAGAAGACCCATACCTATCTATAGATATATATCTATAGCTATAGATATATATAAACATTTATGTATTTATTTATTTTCGCTTGTTTGTATGTGCAATCTTTATTATTGGGCACGTAATGTTTGACAAGCTGAAAAGTATCCTTTGTAAATACATTATAGATTCATCAAGGAATGATTTACTAAAGGATTGGAGAATGTTCACATAACAATTTGGGTGAATATTCACCTTAATTATGCAGTCATGTGCAGATGAGATGAGCAAAATTTGATTTTCTTTTCACATGACTGAATAACTGAAGTGAATCTTTTTACTTTATATTGCGTGAACATTCTCAAATCTTTTAGTAATTCAGCCTCACTATGTCTTTTCGGTTACACAACAATCTAAAAAGTCTGTTTTTAATTCTCGTTAAATTAGGGGCATATTTTAAAAGTCAATGAATGTAATTTAAAATACATGAACCAGTAAGGGACACCTTCATTGAAGGTTTGGTGAATTCATATTCATTTGCACTATACTGGTACACAAAATACTTAAAACTTTTTTGTGCATTAGATTGGCCTTGTGTTTTATTCTCTTTTATTATTTTTTACATATAATGTGTTTGTATCCTGTACAGTAATAGTAGCATACTTAATGTGATAATTTAATGTGGTTGACATCCAAGTGCTGAAACCAGAGATCATGTTTTTTCCTGAAGTTTGTTTTCTCATTAATATTAGCTGTCAACATTGTTTATTTTACTGTTTATAGCTTCCAAGAATTGTTTTTATGTTTGTCCATATAGTTTTTATGTTCCACATTAAGAAATGTAGCATAGTTTAACTGTTAGCATAGTTTTCTGTGTGAGTCAGTCAACATTTTATTTGTGCCGTTTATGTGGTAGTAATAATTGCCATATCTGTCTTTGTTTTGCAGTCATGTACTGTACAGACCCGGGAGAGGTAGAGCACTCCGCTCGTCTTATTTCAGACCCAGTCCTTCTCGTGGGTACTACTATCCAGTACACTTGTGACACAGGCTTTGTGCTTGAAGGAAGCTCTCTTCTGACCTGCTACAGCAGGGAAACAGGAACCCCAATCTGGACATCCAAAATCCCACACTGTGTTTGTAAGCAAATCATATCTTGTCTTGGAAATGGCTCACTGTGACTGTACTGCCTGGGGTTAGTGTTCTTGTTAGGCTTCCTCAGTCAAATCATATGATTTATTGGTCCTTGCCTATGATCTGACCATCAAAAAGGAACCCTGACCCAGCTTATCTATGTCCATTTGCTGCTAATTTGCCCTACCAAGTACCATAATGTGCATAATCATGATTTTATTTTTTTACTGCATTGAGTGTGCCCTAATTATTAACAAAAATGTATCTAATTTGTGTATCACTCAGCTGTAGATCCTCAAATCATCTCTGAATTCATGCTGACACTGTCCTTCATTCTGGAGGGGGCTACTTTTGTTCCCCGTGGTCCCTGTGTGTGTTGTAATGTAGTCACCGCTCCAAATTCTTGTGATTGACTACAATCCCACATTTAGCTTATTAATTTGTATTGAAATTATAGCCTAACACGGGAGTGAGCTTGGAGCGGGCGCTACTTGTAAACACTGACCTTTTCGCTGTGGATTGCAGCTGCATTCATGAGAAACCATGCACAAATGTTCACATGAAAACCAACACTTCCAGGAGTGTCGATTTCTTCGGTTCTCCAACAGCTCTCACTGGTTCCTCCTCCTATCCTCCACATCACTACTGACGTTTTCCTGTGGGGATGATTTTTACAGAGCCGAGCAGCATTCTTCAGTGCAGGGTGTAGGTCATATAATTATTTAGAGTCCTTTACTGATATGCCTTGGGGAGTTTAGTATAGTTACTAGGATTTTGTAGACTTTGAGTACTTTGATGTTATTTTTCTGAAATATTGAAAGTTGCCGTCATTTCTATAATAATATTAAGCAAAATGTGGCCTTCAGTAGATATAATGTGGCCTATTTTAAAATTTATTCTACTCATTAATCCTGCTTCGAACTCTAAAAGAGGATAACTTCCGTAAAGTCACCATTCAAATGAAAGTTTAGTTCTAGGTAGATTTAATATATGTAGTTCCTCCTCTGAAACCCTATACATGCTTCTTATTTCTAGTTTTGCATGAGAGACAAACATTTTTCAAGTAATAAAAACAGTTCTCTGTATGTAAATCAATATGGTAACAGGCAATGATCCATTTCTTTTTTTAATGTAGACAAGCCTCACTGATAGCAGAAATTGCATTTTATATAGAATGAACTTCTCTTTTCTTCAAGTGTAACAATTGCTGAACAAACACTAAATTGTGCTAGAAAGGCACCAACACGTTTCCCCCAAATGAGGAGAGTTAATTGAACAGTTAAGAGTATAATGCAGGTGACATAAAGACAAATGGTATTACTTCCAGAAAGCTTAATTTCCCCATGTAAACACTCTATTAGTCACCAACTTCACAAATTAGACATCCTAAGCTTTACTTGGTCAGCTGATACAAATTCCAAAAAACACTTTCTAGGACTAAAAGTTATAAAGTAGAATGTGAAACTTCATAAATAATAACAAATTTAAAACACATACGGGTCTATTCACTAAGCTGCCGAGGGCAGCCGAGTGAACAACCGACCACAAGTGAAGTGAGCCGAACACTGTTCGGCTATTCACTTCAGGCTTGTACGGTTGAAATCAGCCGTACATCGGCTTGCTTCGCATGGCTTCGGGTCGGCCGAACAGGCTCAGCATGTTCGGCTGACCCGAAGTGCAGAAGGAGTTCGACTCAGCCGATCCAACATCTGAATCGGCTGAGCCGAACCTCCGGCAGGCTACTCACTGCTGTTCGGCCTATTCTTATAGATGCCGAACAGCAGTGAGTGAATAGCCAAATGCCGCTGAGCTGCATTCAGCTCGGCTGTTCTGCTCGGTCCCTCAGAGGTACCGAGCAGAACAGAAAAATAGTTTAAAAAGTTTTAAAAAAGTAAATAGAAAATGATTGTGCGGAGCTAGCAGTGACAGCTAGCTCCGCCCAACAGTTTTCTATTGTCCGGCGGTTCTGCTGCTGTTAAAAAAAAAAGGGAAAAAAATCTCCCGGGCGCTCTGGGAGCCTTCCGCTCCCGGCCGCCAGGAGAGAAACACTAATTGATCTTTTTTTTTCTTTATTCTGACACGGAGAACTGCAGCAGAGGGCGGGTACAATGCTAGTTTACTATTGGCTATTGCAAATTGAAATAGCCAATAGGAATCTAGCAATGCATTCCAATGGGCAAATTACAAAATTACAAAAGACAATCTACAAAATGGTGTCACTATTCAAATGTGTCAAGGGCAGCTTAATGCCCAAATATAGCCTAAATCTCTGTAAGCATCTATAGAGCTGAGATTGGCTGGGCTACATTTTCAAAACCAGCAGACACATTACTGGTCCATTCTGCCCTGGTGCCCTGAAAAACAACTGCTGCTAGTGTAGCCCTTATTCCTGTTGTCCCTGTACCTGAAATTATAAGTATTTACATACATACATTATATGATTTAGATTATTGGTCTTGAAGTAGTGCAAAACATTCTTTTTAGGCCTTGTCCTTAAAGCCCAACTCTGAGCACAATACACTTACTGCAGTAAGCTGTAGAAGTCCTTTGTGGCAAACTTACATGCCTTAATAAGATTTCCCTCCATCTCCTTGCAAATCTAAAGTAAAGACTGTGGTTGCATCTCCATCCCCCTTTCCTCCTGGTTATAACAAAGCAATTGGCCCCAGGCTCCATTTTGTATGAGGTAGATATTTGACTATATTAATGAAGTCTATGAGTACTGCAAGACTACAGCGGGAGCCAGCACAGAAGTTCAGCAGGAGCTGGACTTCCACCCACAGGTATACTTAATCTTATTATGGGATGTGAGTTTACAGCAAAGGACCTCTACAACTAACTGAACTGCAATAAGTTTATTATACCCGGAGTTGGGCTTTAAAGAGGAAGTTCACCCCCTTATCTTTTTCGCTGGGTCGCCCTTCATTATCATGCCTAGCAAATTCAGCTGTGCTCTGCAGTAGCCCATTTTGCTGGTGCTCACGAGTCCCGTTCGGCCATCCTTCTCTTTTATGTCATCTGGGAGGCGGCCACCTCTTCCTGGTTCTTGCAGCTGATCACCTGATGACATGCATATGCCGCAGTGCATCATCAAGGGCCCTTCTTCAAGAACCAGGAAGAGACAGCCGGCCCCCTGATGACACACCACATCGCATGGGCTGTAGATTGCCCTGAAACTTCCTGGGATATGTGGCTGTGGGCAGTTGGCTGTGGGCATTTGGGGGATGCCATTCTCCCTAGGCAAGAAATCCAGAATTTCAGGGTTGTTTTTTTTTTTTAAAAAGGCAATTCCAAGAAATATATGTGCTATTTGTGTGAAAGGAGGTGGAAGAGGAAAATATGGAAAGCGGGTGGAGAGGATGAAGGTCCACTTTATCTGCTTAGCATGTTCCTTTGGACTTCTTTCACAACAAAAGGGAATAATAAAACAGGTGTAAATAACTATCCATTACACAAAATGACACAGTCAGTTATTACTGTCATAGTCAAAAGTGAATAGTGTTGTTCATTCTGCTGTACACATTTAAAGTGTGTGCTCCCTCTGAGTCTGAAATAATAAATGGAAAGTAAGTTGTTTGTTTGGAGGTGACTTGCCAACATTCAGTCTCCATCATATCAGCAGATCTATTGAATGCATTGATTACAGCTGTCACAATATGTTTACCGCATCAAAGAGATAGCCAAGAAATCAATACAAGGAAACACCCATACAATTATATACTGCCTCTGTGTCAAAATGTCAACAAATTTGACTCTTCCTTTTGTCCTTGTAATTTACTGTCTCACTTATTATGTCCGTTTTGCGAGCTAAAATGTTTTGTGAGTGCAGTCTTTTGTCAGAATGGTGGAGAGTTATTCGAGCAAGACCGAATGTCTCCATCTACAGATTAAAACTGGTGTTCCCTGTTCATGGTTCATAGTGAATTAAAAACAACCGTCAGAAAAATTAGGCATTGGAGATAATCTACTGTTAATGTACATTAAATAATGATAAAGAAATATAAATATTTTTTTATTTACAAGTGAGTTTATTTATTTACACACAAGAGAATAAGGCAGTAAAATATTAGGTTGTGTGTAATAAGTTTGTTTTTAAATATGTGCGCATAAATACCATGCGATCAGATGGCATTGTCGGTATTAATAGTCCCCCAAACTTCAAGGTGTGAATGCTAGTGAGAGGCTATTAAAGATGTAAAAGGCTTAAAAGTGAGCTTTTAAGAGTATTTCAATCAAAATCCAGAAGTAGAAAGAGGTGAATTATGATATACTGTACAAAGTATAGTTGTTATTATTATTGAATACTGCTGTAATGCAAAGCATGTATGCCCATTACCATAGTTATGATCTGGCATTTGATATATGTAAAGTTGGTACAGAAATGGTGTGCTACGTCTGCATCTTTTCACATTCTTCACCATTTAGTTCAGTTTAATATGACGTATATTGGTTTGTGGTGAATTTTATTTTTTCTTCGTAAATGTACACTTTTACACATTTATATAAGTATACTAATACTAAGTTTACTTATAAGTATACTAATACTAAGCTTAAACAAGTATACTGATACAAACATACTGATCTTTGATAATATTGCTTTCCCTACATATAATCTTTCATGCAAATAAAAATTAGGGCCCTTGTCGATAATACAGTTGACCTCCTTTATAACCTGCATTTCACTAACTTCAAACGGGTTTTGCATTCCCATAGATTTGTATGGGCATGCAAAACACATCTGATGTGATCAAAAGCCCATCGACACAGGCCCTTCAACAAAGTGCATCTGTGGCACACAATTTGCAAAGTATGCTGGGTTTTCAGATCTAGCACTGACTTCATTAATGTTAGCAACTTCTGCCTAACCCACCAATCCACTGTTAGAAAGGGGTGTATGTCCCTCCACTAAGTCATTCAGCTGTGTGTGTAACCTAATCTCCTGCTATTAGAGTCTATTCCCAACATAGACTACTCACAATATATTAGTTAGGCTATTCACAATGTAGTAGTTAAGCATCCTTTTAAAAACTGGGAACTCTAGCCTCAATCTTCCGGTGGTAAATATGAGATGTTCCTATGCAATATTTCGTATTAAACTACCTTGAACATAATATAATATGATAATATATATGTAAAACTACTATACATTTCCTTCAGTATTCCTATGAATCCCTGTGTTTATACATGGCTTTTGGTGGTTGTGTGTTTTCCAGCTGAAGAATCCCTTGCCTGCGACAATCCTGGTCTACCAGAAAACGGCTACCAAATTCTCTACAAAAGACTCTATCTCCCTGGAGAATCACTGACTTTTATGTGCTATGAAGGCTTTGAATTGATGGGAGAAATCACTATTAAGTGCATCCTGGGTCAGCCTTCTCAGTGGAGTGGACCTCTTCCTATATGTAAAGGTACTGAGCAACTCCATCTTTACTAGTTTTCCCTATTTGTAGTCCATTATGTTGGTCATACACACAACAAAGTTGATAGAGACTGTTCACTTTGCAAAGCCAATGTTTACTGAGCTCATGAAACAATTTGTTTATGCTTGCTTCTTCTTGCACATGATTGGTTAATTGAATTGAACACAGCTTATCTACTAAGCATAGTGAACATTTCAGAAATTCAGCAATTTAGCCCCTTTTAGCCATTTTTAACCAGCTTTCAATTGCAACAACTGAACAGGACAATGCATCCTACCCAGTGGCATAACTACAAATCATGGGGCCCCATACCAAAACTTTGGGGCCCCCAGCTAACTTTGTCTGTAGTGGCTGGCAGTGTCAACTGTGACAATAAGTGTCATTGATCTTAACAAGAAGTACAGTATGTATCAAGGTAAGGCAGTAGGAGAGCTGTCAACATAGTCAAAACACTACTAGGGAGTAATGTTTGGGGTAAAAGTTATTGTAGTACTAATTATAATAACCATGATATTTTACATTATTACACATATTATTATTATTATTATTATTATTATATTGTTAAAAAATTAATGTTCTTGCACACACTTACTCTTCAACCCTAATGAAAACTTTTTTAAACTTTTTGTAGATCCACAAACCTCAGCCCTCCTATAAGGCTTTACCAGAGGTGAAACTCTGGGATTTGTGACTGCATTAGAAATACAGGGTTAAATTCAGTCTGTAGCAGAAGTGACTAAAAGATCCTGAGCTCTTATTTCAGCCCTTCTATACTCGAAACCCTCACAGTTTGTTTCTTAATCAGTCTTTCTAATAGGGCCCCCTCCTACCCCAGGCCGCAAAGCAGCAGCATGGGCTGCCATGGCTAGTGGTTAGCCACTGAACCTACCATCAACAATGACTACTAAAACTGATATTCAAAACTGTTGATCTTAGGTTTCCCTAGCTCATTTGATTGTTTTTGCCAAAAGTATTAAAAATAGTTGAAACTACCTAAAAATTCTCATGTGTATGGCCATCATTGGTCTCCTTAGTCCTCTGTCCGTAGGAATGCTACACCAGAAAATAGAGAAAACTCACTTCAAATGGTCTCTCTGCTAAAGGATGTTATTTTGTGCCCTTCTAGCATCAAAGGCGATTTATTAGATTTAGCTTACATTTACCCAGCAGTGAACAGCAGCCTTTTGAGAATAATCCTATAAATCATGTTATGTCACAGAACTGTGAAATAAAAAGATTTTTTAGGGACATACTGACAAGTCCGTCTCCTAGACTTTAACTCTTTTGTCAGAAAAGTTACTGGTTGATATGCTCACAAGTAAATGTTCCTAAAATCAAATTATTCTTTATCCTGAATTGGCCTTTGTGAGCAGATGGTCTTTTCAACCTCCAACACGTTCCATGTCACCCAACAGAGACATTAAAAGTGAGCGAATCTCTGCTAGGTAACACAAAACAAATGCTTCTACAGTTAGAAGAGTTGTATAACTTGTTATCCAACAGTGCCTGCTTTGGACAGAATAGTATACAGTACAGCATCTGGCAAAATATGAGCTTCTGATTGCAGTAGCTTGAATGGCTCTATTATGTGATAAAGCTTATTACAAGAGATGTAATTTTTCTGACTCAATCAATCAGTCGTTTTTGTTACTCATTTTAAAGGTTTAGTACCTACTGACTTATGTAACACTGTTATATATGCTGCACAGATTTTAACTATTTTTTTTCTTAATTCTTTTAAACATTAGTTCATAAACACATACTTATGTAAAAATGTTGCCAAAGTATGCATGTTTATTCACTGTGTACCCACCCTGATGGCAGTTTAACCATAATGGATCATTGGCAGTCAGCTGGAAAAAATCCAGTTCAAGCCGACTGACCTTTTTCCCCCAGAAGCAGAGAGGATGACTTGAACTAAAGTAGACAATGAACTGGCCAGACTATGCCACATTTACTTTAGGGTCTCAAAGGACTTTACTTTTACTGACGTTGTCTTTTAAATCTTCCCTTCATCCTTCTCAGTGGAAGCCACATGCTTATGTACTTACCATACTGCCAAGATCTTCACTGAGTGGCCCTGCCCTGCGTTGCACAACACACACAAAAAAAGTCCCCACCCCACCATGGCCCATGTAATTACCCAAAGCAATTCCATCGTTCCAAGGGCCATACTAAAAGTGAAGTTATGCTTTAAAAGGTATACAACCTTACTGTAAAGTAGGATAATTGAGATTAAATTCTGGTTAAACCCATTTCTATAAAGAAACAGGCCGAATGTACAAGGTTATGTCTATGGGGAGAATCTTTAGCAATATATTATCTACAGAGAAATATAAATAAATATTGAATAGATCAATAAATATTCCAAATGGAAGGTGCTTCCATGACACGTTATCGCAGAGCATTGTTATAAGAAAGCCCAGCACTGTCTGCTTACTTGTTCAACTGCTAGAAGAGAGAGGGTGAGACTCTCCTTTAACTTATTCAGCTGCATCTATCTAATATTGTCTTCTGTTATTGAGATCTATTTACAAGAGAAAGCCAATTTAGTGGCTTTGAAAGTTCCACGTGCCGGCTACAAGTCATACATATTAGATCTTCATGTGCAGTATTTAATATTTAGCTGACTATAAATACATAAATAAATGAAAACCTTTATGAAAAAAAATATAATGAATAAAGAAAATATGTATACACAAAGACTATGGGGTCTTTTCACTAAGCTGCTGTAGGCAGCCGAGTGACTAACCGACCCGAAGCGAAGTGAGCCGAACGCTGTTCGAATATTCACTTCAGGCTGGTACGGCTGATTCCAGCCGTATATCGGCTGAAATCAGCCATACATCGGGTGACTTTGGCTGGCTTCGGGCGTCGGCCGAACATGCTGAGCATGACCCGAAGTGCAGAAGGAGTTCCACTCCACCTCCGACAGGCTACTCGCTGCGGAGCTAGTAGTGACAGCTATCTCCGCCCAACTGTTTTCTATTGGCCGGGCGGTTCTGCTGCCGCCAGAATAAAAACAACGGGAGCCAATATCTAATAGCGGGAGACTCCCGGAGCGCCCGGGAGAGTTGGGCTGTCTGGAGATCAGTGTCCCTGGTTACCTGGTAACCAGGGATGCTGATCTGTCCGTGCAAGTGGCCAGAGCCCAGCAGTCAGTAGCAGGCTGTCGGCCAGCTTCGGCTTTCACCTCGGCTCGGCCGAATTCGGGAGCTGTACGGGCTATGGTGAATAGCCCGTACAGCAGCCCTTCGGTTCTACTGAACCGAAGGGGTCCTGGGGCCGAAGCTAGCCGAAGGGTCAGCCGAAGCTACGGCTAGATCCTTCAGCAGCTTAGTGAATAGACCCCTATGTATTGCCTTTAAACTTTAATCCAAAATGACTCAGGACATAGCATATTAAAATATCAGTTGTTGTACATTCATGGGCACAGTTTGCATTTTGAATAGTAGTGGTACTGTAGCTCTTTTAAATAGGTACATTTTATTATAGCTATACTGGTCTTTTGAACTGAAAATTGGAATTTAAATGTTCTGTATATCCTGCTACATTTCTTAGCATGTTCTGTGGCCAGTGGAGGGTTACTGGAAACAAGAGGCATTTTCAACACATCTTTTAGACTCAATGCTTTATCGTAATTGACCCAGCTGCGTTCTTTATGGAGTATTTATATAGAGCAATAGGAGGAGTTACAAGTCATCAAACTCCATTATTGCTTAATGTGGCTGTTCTGTCTTCAGCTCCCATTCAAATATACTAAACCTGCAGCCAGAACAACCTCATTAATCAGTAACAGGTTGATAAATGACACCCGCAGTGTTATACGATCTTCGAAACTCGACAGCCAAGAACATGCATTTGCTTCTTTGCATGGAAACCTTATTCTTGATGTATTGATTAAAATAGAATTGAAGCTGGCAGTGCTTTGATATTCCTCCCAGTAAACAACTAGTATTATAAATATACTGCCATTCCAAGCTAAAAAAAATATGGTAGCTAATAAACTGTGTTTGCTTATATAATGGTATATTCACCTATTTATTAATATAGCAGATTATATAATTCCTGCTGCTGGTGGGCACAACAATGCATCTGGTTATTGTTGTTGTTGTTGTTGTTGTTAGACACTTGGTTAACGTGAACATGTGGCCTAATATCAACCTTCAAGTATTAACATATTCTTAACAAGCAGTAACTCAGCTTAAAACAAGATCTCAAGGTCACAACAGAAGCACTAAAGTCCTTCAAGTCCTTCTTTTGGAGGCTTTGCTCTCCAGTCCTAACTTTCCCTGAGCACCTTCTCTGTGTTTACAGTAGAGATTAGAAGACTGCAAAATCTTTGTAGGGTGGAGAAGAAGGGTGAGCTAAGCTGCTTAGAGAAAAAACTTGCATGATTTCAGTGCTTCTGCTGTGAACTTTGAGAATGAATTGCTCCAGAGTGCCCGCGGCTTCAGAGGTCAATCATTGTTCATAGCCTGGTCACCGGCTCTTCATAATTTGCTGGTTGTAAGTAAATCAATTCCAAATGCCATTCTTTCCGGTGCATATCACAGAATTCCAGATGAAATTGTATTCTCTGTTGTAGAAACAAAAATGCTATTCTTTCCTCCAGTCTTGAACATGAGTTACAACTATAGAATTGCAACTCTAAAATGTGCACACCTACCTCAGAGGTTATTTTCAGTATGTGAAAGCTGGAGGAAAACGAGGAATATAACTGAACATGTGACTCATCATTTTTAACTTGTGAAATGCAAAGTCAAACAAATACAATTTGTTTATGCAACATTTCCTCCACTGATTCATATCAGCTCTGCATGTAAACTGTTATGACTGTTATAAAAAGCCATTTCACAAAATATATTTTAAAAGTCACTGATTTTCCGTTTCATCTCCTGTAGCTACACAGGACAGGTTTGAACATGCATTACAAGGTAAGTGTCTGAAGTTATGCAACCAAATGGAATGCGTGCTCTTTAGCAAATGCCATCAGTAGGACTTGAAAGATCATGATTTAAGAAAAATGTGACCCAGCATATCCTAGCTACCTGGTGCGCACAAATTCCCTATTTGTTTGTAATAGGCAGTTTAGTGTGGCACCAGCTTATCTATTCTGAAGCAGCAGAGAAGAATTTCTCTGCAATATTGATTGCAAAAACAGACAGAATTCCCCATGGCCCCCAGTGCAACTATCCTTGCCAATACACTGTGAGATGGTATAAAAAAAAAAAAAAACTTGCCTTCAAAGTGCTACAATGTCTGCCCTGTATGACCACTTTACTTGTTTTTAGCGAGCATTATCTTTTATCTCATGAATTATTCATTAAATAGACAGGTGTTTTCTATGTCTGTTGTTTGTTCAGTAAAAACATTATTCTTAATTCCCAAAATATCAATATGCGATTATTTCTTAATTCTCACATTCTTCGTCATAATTCCGGTGCATTTAATGCACAAGTTTATGTGTAAAACAAGCTAATTTTCATCTACTTTGAGAAAGACCTGCTAAAAATGAATGATTACAACTCTGGGTAGATGTGGCTTCCGGGGTTCTTTGTTTACTATAACAGCATATTAGGTATAATGATGTAATACACATAGATAATATTACATAATTCTCCAGGATGGGGAACATAGACATAAGGAGCTCAGCCTGGACAGGCCCCCCTCTTAGCTTTTCACAGTGCTGAAGGCCATATATCAGCTAGACCGGGGGATATGCTTACTGCTTATTTGCAATAAAGATGCTAGCCCCATGCCTAGTGTTATGGGATGTAGCATCAGGAGAGGGGAACACTGGTAGTCTTTTTTTTTTGGAAGTTTGATTATGCAGGCCCAGAATATTGTAGGTCTCCCGATTGTATACAAATGTTTGCTGATGCGTTTGACATTCTATATTCATAATTCCTTTAAACCCCATTAAACAGTACCATTAAAGTATATAGTCAAAACATTGTTGGGTATAGAGTAGGTAAGAGTTATAACCCTTGTCAAATGTGTTCATCTGTGTACATGTATAAAGAAAAAAAACATAGGACATAAATCTTGAAGCTGGTTTTACTAGAAAGAGTTTACTGTATGGTAACAAGACAATTCAAAAATATATGAAACTTTAGAGAATGACCTTCCATCATGACATCATGCCATAGAACAATGACAACAAAATAACACCTATTATGTCAATACTTAGTGGTCAGTGCCAGAATCTTGCCAACCATCTGTCACCTTAAATATCAGAGATGAGTCAGGCAACAAGTGGGTGAATAAAGATGATGGTCAGTTGTCATAATATGACTAACCAGGAGGCAGTCACAAGGGCTAAATATTTATTTCACCTTTCCTTAGAGAGACCCTGCTGCCTGATCATTAATTTCAACCAAAATGTTCCCATTAGATTATTTGTGCATTTAACGTGGGCACCACTATCTTGGATGTGATGTCAGCAGTCCATAAGACTTAGAGCTTTCACTCAAATGACACTCTACAGCAGGGGTAGTGAGTTAAAATTCAAGGTGGTCTGGTGACTCCCTGGAAAAACACCTTGACCCCATGTCGATGAGGACAAGGGCCTCTTCTCCACAACCCTGGCCGGGTGGTTGTGGGTGTCTGCGGGCAGGGGGCTTATAGGAATCTGGGTGCCCCCTTTCTTAAAGGGGGCAACCAGATGCCACCACCCTTGTGAATGAGTAAGAGGTAGTTATTACCCCTACTCATTCACCAAATAGCTCTGCTTATAAATAGCATTTGGGAGCTCCAGACTGAACCATGGTCCCCTATTTAGGGATTCATGCTCTATATAATTCCCCTTCGCTCTTCCCCAGCTGCTACATGAAAGAATATGTTGGTAGGTGAGGGGAGGCGCAGAGGAGCTGACCCAACACAGGAAGTAATTAGACACTCCCAGAAGAGAAGAGGGCTAAGATATGCAGGGAGGGAGTCGGTCATGCTAGACTCTTCCTGAAGTAATTGGAATTTTTAAGCATGTTCAAAGGCACATTGAAAGATCATAACAATAATTTATGGAAAGGAAAAAATTCAATTTGCTGTGCTTTTACCTGCCATTTTCTAAGTTGGTGACATGTTCTCTTTATGTTTTGAAGATTAGTTTGGATACCTGTTTGTTTTATTCTTCAGATAGTTATATCAAGAAACAATGTTTTTGTCCTAAAAATGTATGTCCTTATGTAAGATTCAAATTTGATCAAATGTTTTCCATATTCTGTACAGTGGCAGAAGCAGCAGCAGAAACGTCTTTAGAAGGAGGAAATATGGCATTAGCAATATTCATCCCTGTTGTCGTCATTTCAGTTCTGCTGGGAGGAGCATACATTTATATTACAAGGTACGTCATTGTAATCCAGTAACTCGGAGTAGGACAGCGATTCAATGATCCAATGGCAGTCCTAATGTCACATTTAGCTGACATAAGCTACAAACGCTTGCTTGGTGACAGTTTTTTCTTTACTGCTGGAGGCAACAGTAAACAGTCAATGGTCCCTATGGGCAAACATGAAGATTAACCATAAATTTGCTAATCAGCTTCAGTGAAGTGTAACTGTGAAGAAATCCCTTTCGGAACTTTTAAAATGCTTTCCAAATCTGGCTAAATAGTGCTGCACTTCAGCTATTTTTCTATTCAAATGCTTTGCACTGCACTAGGCAACACAGCCAAGGACAAATGTACACAGGGGCACTGCTGCTTGTATGGTTTAGAAAGCTCTAGCAGTAAGCAAGGGGCAATCAGGCTAACCTTAGTACAGCCCAGCGCAAAAAGGGCATTTCAAACAGCCATGGTCATTTAAACAGCCATACAAACAAGGAAATCTGGTCAACCCATCAAGTTGTGTTGGTCCACTCACACTCAGACCTCCAGGCTTTCGGCTCCAGAACACCCTAGCCTTCCTAGGACACTTCTACCTGCTGTCTGACATACACCTGTGCAAAATTTCTCATCCAGCCTGGCCTGTAAGATACAAGGACAAGCTGTTGTTCAGTAACCAATATTGCACCACTCTTCACCTTCCAGGATGCCTCTTGAACATATACAGGAGGGTCAAGCTGTGGTAAGTGGGTGCACCAGCAATCCAGGAAGCAGTTGGTAAACTAATCGAGTTAGAAAAAGTTGATGGTTAGACAAGAACAAAGCTGAGAGTAAAGTCAGGGGTTGCTGCCAAGAGTAACTGGAGCCAAATGTCAAAACCAGGCAGTGGATCAAACACTAATCAGGAATTATGGTAAGATGAGGGCATTTGGAGTTCTAGCAAGGTCAAGACTACAGGGAAAATGTGTCCGAGAGACGGTTGCATGCACAAGCTATTAAACAGTATGACAGCAATTTGAGCATGGAAAAAGTTAGGTTTAAAAAAGGAAGCCTGACTAATCAGTGTACTGATGTGGCTTGTCACTGTTCCCTAGCTGGAGAGTATGCCTGAGAACACAGGGAACACTTGTGCATATGTGTGGACACCAAAGAGGGATTTAGAGAGGTTTAAGACCAAGCTGAAAGAGCCAAAGGACAGTGAGAAGCAGGAAGAGCACCAGAGATAACAAATTCTGTGTGACAATAAAAGCTGGATACACATGCATTTTAGTAGGAATCATCCAAAATTAACTGCCTTGGTGACCTTATTCCTTCAGCAGAAGTTTATCATTAGATCAGCTTTTGCCAAAGGAACATGGAAAATCTTCAGCTGAATAAGCTGCAAGCTCCGTTCAGGTATGCTGACAGTGGTTGGTGATTGTTCAACGTGGATGTAGAAATTTTTTGTTTATTTATTTTGTTCAGCCTGCATTTTGAAAGAAACAGAATAGACCAGTGTATGACTTACTTAAAAAACTTCCAGGAGAATAAGCCAATAAGGACCTACATGCTGCTGACTGTTCAATGTCCAACTGCACCCCAGATAGAAGGGTGCATAAGGGGTGCACCGCAACATGCCCAAGCAGAAGTTAATTTAATAGGAGGATGCATTAATTTTTTACGTTGAGTTCAACTTTATTATTAATAATACTTCATAAGCATTAAAAAAAATAAATACTGTTTATACTATTGAATCAGAAAAATGTCTAGATTTAGTTAATTAAATTGTATGGCAAGGCTGACATCTAGTGGACAGTTTCTAGTATTTACACATGATATTCAATGCAGTTTCAACATGTGAATAAAAGGTAATTGTGAGATGCAATAAAACAGAATCAATTAAGTATAAGCATTATATATTGGCTAATAAGCCAACTAAAGTAACATGAGCGCTGCAAATGCTAACTGCTTGCATCTCAACCACCATGTTATACATGTGCTCATATAGTACATCAACCCAGCATTCATGCCTTTTAGCTTACAAAACACTCGTATTAAAAATGGCAAAACCTCACTCATGGCTAACATTAGACATGTGCAATTTGCTTCGTTCTGAATTGCAATTCGTACAAATTTCTGTAAATTCAGACATCCAGATGTGTCTGAATTTCTGAATGACAGAAATAACGAATCTGAATGTTTAATAACAAAATTTGTATACACATGAATTTCATTCGGAACGAAACACAACAAGTGGGAGATCTGTCATTTACCACCCTGTGGCTTCTCTGCACCTGTATCCCAAATGAAACAAACTAACACAATAATGTTACAAAATTGAAAATTATGAAAGAAGCTGAGAGATCTATGTTATTCTGTAACAGCTTCTGCTTCTTTGAGGACACTTCATCACCAATGTAAAGAATCTGGCAGCTGTCACAGAATACACTAAAGTGTTTAACTGTTCACAGAAATAATAAAACATTTTTAAAAACAGCATGCAGTCGTCGTCCCCATTCATACTAGACCCTTTAGGTCTGGTGGGAATGTTAGGAGGGAGCCCTGATGTAAAAAAAAGAAAAAGGGCAGGTCCCCCGGCAATTTATACCAGACCCTTCAGGTCTGGTAGGAATTTTAAGTGGAACCCCCAACACCAAAAAAAATTTGGGGTCCCCCTAAAATCCCATACAATACCCTTAATCCGGGCAGGAAATGGGGTGGGGGACGAGTGAGAGCCCCCCTTCCACCATACCAGGCCACATGCCTTAAGCATTGGGAGGGTGGTTTTCCGGGGGGGACCCTTTCTAAGGTGTGGTGTGTTTATTTACATTTTATTTAACCCTTTAGTGAATGAGTAGGGGTAGAAGTACTCCTTATTCATTCACAAGGGGGGGCAGCATCTGGATGCCCCTTTACAAAAGGGGGTACCTAGATGCAGGTGGGCCCCCCTGCCCGCAGACCCCCACAACCACCGGACCAGGGTTGTGGGGAAGAGGCCTTTGTTCCCATCAGCATGGCTAGTTTTTTTGTTGTTGTTTTTTTTTACATCAGGGGGTCCCCCCTAACATTTTTTTTGTTTGTTTCTGTGGAGTGTCAGAAATTCGTATTCATACAAATTTGAATGCCAAAACGAATTGACTTTCAGACCCGAATCCCTAAAAATGAAACAGGGAAACATCCAAAATGAAACACATTTTTTGCCGCCTTACATATCTAGCTAACATATTCCAGCAACAGAGGTAAATAATACGTACAGTTGATCAATGTCTTAATTCAGTAGTATATATATATATATATATTTACCGTGTATATATATTATATATATAAATATTGTATATATCTACAGGTAAACCAAAGGGGGCATACTGCCATCAAAGAGCTATTGTTTTTCTTGCATAGAGCAATATATGATCACCTTAAGTCCATTCAAACTTTGTATGAGAAAAGTTGGAAAAGTCAAGAAGAAGTTGTAATTGAACAACAAAGGGTTGCAACTATTGTAATGCAGGTACAGGCATATCAGAATTTGGCAAATACAAATTAATTGTATAGATTGTAAACAGTAGACTACCACCACATACTAGCACTAATATTAAATTGATCCACTGGGTTGGAAAATCATAAGATGGTTTTAGCTGAATAAGTAGACCAGCACCATTAATAAAGTTTCATCTATTTGTGCGTCTGATATGTACTCTTGTGGGATAAACGACAATTATTCGATTTCACCAGAATTAGAGCACTCAAAAATGTACAAAGGGATCTGAGGAAACCTAAAAGCTTGCATATATAATAGCTTGTTAGCCAATATAAGGTATTACTTACATTTTAAACTTTCAGCACCCAAAAATTTCATTTGCCTTAATCTTTTATAATAAACTGTATTACATATGAATAGATATTATCTGATGTATATATATACCCTAACCTCAAAACAATATGAACATTGTGACTACTACCGTCAACTGAATGCACAGAGCAAGTAATTGACACATAAAACATATAAAACAAACAATCATGCAAGATATGGTGTGAATCCAATATCAGTAGGAAACCAATATCCCATGTATAGTCTCATGTGCTCACTTGACATTTGCTCTACCAACATGGTCGTGTGATGCCATGACATTCATTAGAATAGATTGCCTCCTGCAGTTTTTCCAGTGATAGGCACTGTGCAGTTGCATCATGAGCACATGATTATAGGCTCACAAGACAGTCCATCTGAACACAAGCTGGTGATGTTTTCTATGGGCTAATAATTATTGGCCTATTATTTCCATTTGAAGTGTAAAGGGTACATTGCTTGACTTTTTTCCAGGATTAAGCGCACAAGGTCACTTTTATTTGCCGACCATTTGTTGCAATGCTATATGTTCTATCCTTCTGGACACATGCCAATACAGGGCTCTGTTGTGAACTGGTACCATTGAAAACAAGACTATTTCCCTTATCCTTGTATTGGGATTGCACTGCGCAACCAGGCCCAAGGCAGGCGGTGTGAACGAGCCCTAAAACCAAACTGCTTGGGAACACATACAGCTTGTTGACCTATTTTTGAAACATGGATATCTGAGGTTCATTAAAGTAGATACACTGGCTTATGATGTCCATTTAATAAAATATCAGCTGGAGAAACCCACAGGTAAATTCATTTCTAAACCCATATGGATAGTAGGTTCCATTATGCCTAGCATGGAACAATAAATTGGTGGATAATGGTTGCCAACCAGACTATTGTTTCTGTTCTTTCCTTTGCCTCAACTTCTGCCAGACTAATCAGGATTGCTTGTACAACAGTGATTTAATATTGGTGCTGTAATCTGCAAGAATACTAGTTTCATAGTTGCAGCGCAGTATGCAAAAGTGCGGGACTAGAGATCATTTTGAGAGTACAAGAGCACTTTAGTCACATGTTGATTTTTTTTATATTTAGAGAACGCTGATCTTCTAGGAGAGAACAAACCACCCATATATATTCAAAATCTTGTTGGGGCAAATCATTGTAGAGCACTTAGATTATAATATGGAGATTGATATAAAAGATACATAAACTGCAGTAAAATAAGAGAACACTTTGCATAAACCCATATAAATGAAAACCAGCTTGTGTTAGTCAGATAACAAAATTTATGTTCAATATATGCCCAGACTTTAAAAAGACAATCTGAATATCTTGTTCTCTGGCTACCAAAATAATCTCTTTTGACTACAGTGTATTTGTGCTATTTTAGGTAGAATGTTCTGTCAGGAAGAACAGTGATATTTACTAGCAGTTATTCAATAGTGCTACTGCTCAAGGTTGCTGTGTGCTCTGATGTTAGAGACTTTTGTTTATGTTCAAGGTTGTTTGTATTTTCCCACCTAGAACATGTACTTAGCGGCTTGCTGAAGGCTTTAATAACACTCTCACACAGTACATCCTTCTCTAGCACAGTGACTGACACAAATAGAGCAGACAAAGTTCACAGAGACAGCATCGCAGCTGAAAGAAAACAATAATTTTATTGATGTGTGAACATATTCAGGTGGAAAAGATCATGTTATCAAAGGGTTAAACTACAGGGACCCATAACCTCCGACTACTGAACAGTTTACCCCACTTGCTGGCAATCACTTCATTTAGAGCACATTGATATTTGCTAAAAAGAGGTTAGAGTAGAAGGAAAGGCTAAGTTACAAAACAACACGTTTCTTCCCTTTCTCTCCGCATGGCCAGTTTTGCAAATTACAATGTAAATACCTTTATTGAGAGCCGACAATGGGGATGAATTTCATAGTGCAGTGACATGACCTGCCGGTGTCCACTGCTCTAGCCATCGTTTGTTGGTGGGTGAGAGAATCTCCTACCGGCATCCGCATCAACAGCACACAAAAAAGTGCTAAAAAACTATTTCCACTGCAATTTGTGACAAACGTATGTATTTAAATCAGTGTTAATTTTGTCGCTTTATAATTTTCATCATAGTTATGATGACTAGGGATGGTCCGCCGGTTCCATTTGAACATGAGTTTGAATCGAACATCGGCCGTTCGAGCTTTCGCCGAACTTTATGGGATGTTCGCGGTCTGTTTGTCCGTGCAATGTCCCATACTTCAAAGAGTCCTCTGAAGCTCTAATTGGTTAAATACATGCACCTGACCACAGGTCAGGTGCAAGACTTTGCCCAATCAGGGCTCAGTACTCATCTGGAGCCATGATTGGGCAAAGTCATGATGACTCTGCCCAATCCTGTCTCGCCTATCAGATGCCGGCAAATGACACAATTTGGCAGAGCTAGCTGTCACCGCTAGCTCCGTCCAATTGTTTATGTTTTCCGACAACTGTCAAAATGCCATTATGTGGCGGGAGTCGGCGGGGAGTGGACGGGATAGCGGTCATCATTTTTTTTAAATTATTATTTCTATGTATTTTTTATTGTTTTATTTTTTATTTTGTCATCGTCGTGGACAACACTGGACGTCGTGATTGACCATGGATTTCGTCAGTTGATCCACGTTGGTGAATTACGTCGGTGGTTTTTTTTTGTAATAAAAGACTTGTCAAAAACATGTGTTTTGTTGGGGGGTTTTTTCAATTAAAGGATTTTATCAAAAGTCTGGACTTTTGAATAACTATTTTATTTAATCCTTTATTGAATGGGTAGGGGTACCCCTTACTCATTCACAAGGGAGGGGTGTGGCATCTGGGTGCCCCCCTTAATTAAAGGGGTACCTCGATGCAAATAAGCCCCCTCGCCCACAGACCCCCACAACCACCAGGTTAGGGTTTTGGGGATGAGGCCCTTGTCCCCATTGGCATGGGGACACCCTCCCAGTGCCGAGGGCATGTGGCCTGGTGTGGGAGGGAGGGGGGCACTCGCTCGGTCTCCCCCTATCCGGCCCTGCCAGGCCTATGCTCGGATCAAGGATCTGGTATGGAATTTTAGGGGGACCCCACGTTTTTCCCCCCATTTTGGGGGGTGGGGTTCCCCCTAAAAATTCCTACCAGACTTCAAGGGCCTGGTGTGACTTAAAGGGGGAACCACACACACCGTTTTTTTTTGTTTTTTTTACATGGGGTCCCTCCTCACTATTCCTACCAGAACTTAAGGGCCTGTTATGACTTTGAGGGGGAACCCCACACACTTTTTTAGTTTTTTTACACGGGGTCCCTCCTAAATATTCCTACCAGACCTTAAGGGTCTGGTATGACTTTAAAGGGGAACCCTACGCTTTTTAAAAAAAAAATGGTCCCTCCTAACATTCCTTCCAGACCTAAAGGCTCTGCTATTGTTTGGGAGGGGGAACTGCATTTGCACACTGTAAAAATAAAAAAAATAAAATGTCATCTTTTTTTTTTTAGAAATGCCAGCTTTGCTGCAGCAGGTTCTATATATCCTACAGATCCGCCACTTCACAGGCACGATATTTGAAGGAATTTTTCATTTTTATTCTTACCCTTTAAGTGATGTTAAAATCACTGCTCCTTTAAAAACTGTATTATTTTTGTTTCTTTTTTTCATTGATTCCTGTCCCTCAGAGCAGTACCCAGACCCCCCATACACCTTTTATGGACAATAACTTGTATATAAGCACTTTTAAAGGGGACAATCATTTTCGAAAGTTCGACCCTCATTGACTTGCATTAGGTTCGAGTTCGTAACTTTCAAACTTTTCGGCCGTTCGGGTGTTCGAATACGAACCGAACACGGGGGTGTTCGGCCCATCCCTAATGATGACTAAAACTATAACGAAAATATATTGATATTTTAGTCGACTGACTAAAACTAGACTGAAGTGTTAGGGAGAGACAATTTGGGAAGAGATCCAAACAGAACTAATCTCTTTAGACTTCCAGTTTCCATTTTCATCCTGAATGGACAGCTAATAGGTAATATGTGCAATGGCATTACAGCCCATATAGTTTTTCATTTCAATATCTTAGAGTTGCCCTTCTGCTTGAAAGAATGAAGAATGTCATATGCAAGTTGCTATAAGCAATGCATAATTACTGGTCCTTTGTTGAAAATACTCAATGTTATTCTTTCTTTATAAGACTTGGTTTAATCTCATTTTAAGATAAATAAAGACACGTTATATACCACAACAGTTAAATCTGTGTCTGTATTGCTCAAATGCTGTATGTTCAAACCTTAGTACTATAAGTAGTAACAGGTTAACAGATGTTTTCTCCAGGAGTATATAATAAGATTGGGAATTCTAGAGAAAATCTTAAATTACTCTTTAACTAAACCCACTAGATTTTAGTAGACTAAATCTACTATAGTTTTAGTCGACTCAAATCCTATGATATTTAGTAGACTAAAACTAGACTACAAAAACAAAAACAATTCAGACGACTAAAATATGACTAAATCTAAATGACATTTTAGTCAAAAGAGTAAGACTAAAACTGAATTTGCTGTTAAAATTAACACTGGTTTAAATGTTACATAGTTACATAGTATTTGAGGTTGAATAAAGACACATGTCCATCAAGTCCAACCTAGTTTACTGTTTATATATTGGTAACATTTTGGGGTTTTTTTTTTACTATCTATGGCAATATGTCTTTCGCACTCTATTTTAGCCGTCCGTATTGCTAGTTTGATTCTTTTATTGCTTTCTTTGTAATTGTGGAACGCCAATGCCGTCCCCTCTATCTTATATTTTATGAAAGCCATTCGCTTTTCCTTTATGTGATGCTTTACATTTTTATTCAGCCATACAGGTTTTGTTTGTGATCTTTTACTTTTATTACCCAACGGTATACATTTGGCAATGGCAATATGTAATGTGTTTTTAAAACATTCCCACTTTTGGTCCGTGTTTAGATTTTGAAATACATTTTCCCATTTGATGTCCCCCACTAGGTGGCGCAGTCTATCAAAGTTGGCCCTTCTGAAATTGAGGGTTTTTGTCCTACCAGCCCTCTTGCTTTTCCTGTATTCAATATTGAAAGTGATCACGTTGTGGTCACTATTGCCCAGAGTCTCCCCAATAACAATATCCTCAATTAACTCCGCATTATTAGTAATGATTAAATCTAGGATGGCATTTTTTCTAGTTGGGACCTCCACCATCTGGTTCATGAAGTTGTCTCTCAACATGTTCAAAAATCGGCCCTCCTTGGTTGAACTTGAGATTCCATTAGCCCAATTTATATCCGGGTAATTGAAGTCGCCCATCACGACTACATTGCCCTCCCTCCCCGCAATTTCTATTTCGGACTGAAGATGAGCCTCCCCCTCCTCCCCAATACTAGGAGGTTTATAACAAATACCCACAATAAGTTTCCGACTATCGTCCCTGGTATCCATTTCTAGCCATAAGGATTCCACGTCCTCCCTACTGTTTGACGTGATATCATCCCTTATATGGGTATTTAGATTATTTTTAACATAAATGCATACTCCCCCCCCCTTCTCCCACCTCTGTCCCTCCTGAACAGGTTGTACCCCTCTATATTGGTGGCCCAATCATGTGTGTTGTCTAGCCAGGTTTCCGCTATTCCTACTATATCGAAGTCTTCTTCGAGCATCATAAGTTCAAGCTCTTCTAATTTATTGGCCAGACTTCTCGCGTTCGTGTACATGCATTTAATTCCTGTCTTATGGGACAAAGGTTTACTTGATTGTGGTTGGCCAGGCTTAATTATATTATTTATGGCTATCGGATTTACTATATAGATGTTGGTTTGTACCTTAACCTTTCCCTCAGATGGTTTAGAATAAAATCATCCATGTAGTTTAGACTTTGAGGAGATATCTGATGCAAAAGTAGTGCAGTTTGTTGTATAGAAATGTGTCTATAACATGTATAACATAGCACCGACAATTTACGCATCCAAGATCCCTATCTTACATGCATAAATACACACACACTAGGGCCAATTTATGCTTCACCTTTTAATGCTTTTTCTCCCATAACGGTTAATTCTGTCTTTAATAATGTTTCATTTTCTTTTTCCAGGTGCAGATACTATTCTAGCCTTCGCCTTCCACTCATGTATTCTCATCCTTACAGCCAGATAACAGTGGAAACAGAGTTTGACAATCCAATTTATGAGACTGGGGTATGTCGCTTTTATCCAATGCGATTAATTTATTATTTACCACAAGATGAAAGGATGCTGAGATTTTGACCTTTGGCAGAGAAGACAAGAACCTTAGATGAAACTAGAAATAATTTCTAGGATATCCAAAAATTAAAAAAATCTCTGCAGCCTGGTGACTTAAGTATTAACATACCACAATCTAACCTGTACTCAGGGGCACTCTCCATCTACATGCTACTCCCACACAACTTTAAATTATATGTAAGCCCAACTATTAAAATCACATATAAGCTTTAACATGGACATTTTTTAGACCCCTGAAAATGTTAAGAAGGTTGGAAAAAAAAGTCAATTTCAGTTTCGGTTTAGGCCTGACAATTTTTTTTTATTTTGGTTTCAGTCTAAAAATGAATTTAAATTAATTTCGGTCCCTAGTTAATACACTTCCAGTTGTAGCACCACAGCAGGAAAGAACAGTGGAGTACACTGACCAGCCATAACATTATGATCACTGACAGGTGAAGTGAGGCAGAGGCAGTGTGATGCTTTGAATAATGTTCTGTTGGGAAACCTTGGATGCTACCCTTCATGTAGATGTTACTTTGACATACCACCCACCTAAACATTATTGCTGACCAAGTACACCCCTTCAGGGAAACAGTATTCCCTGATGGCAGTGGCGTTTTTCAATAGGATAATGCACCCTACCACACTAAAAAAAATGGTTCGAGAATGGTTTGAGGAACACAACAATGAGTTTGAGGTGTTGACTTGGTCTCCAAATTCACTACATCTCAATCCAATCAAGCATCAGTGGGAGTCAGATCAATGGAGGCCCCACATCACAACTTACAGGACTTAAAGGATCTGCTACTAATGGCTTGATTTCTGATACCACAAAATATCTTTAGAAGTCTAGTGGAGTCTATGCCTCAATTGGTCAGCTGTTTTGGTGGCAAAACGCAGAACTATTCAATATTAGGCGGGGGTTCAAAATGTTATAGCTAGTGTATGTACAATACAATGCAATTTCTTCACAGAGTGTTGATTTTAGCACGGGCTGGAAGAAAACAAGCAGGAAGGCTGAAACAAATGTTGTCACCTTGCCTTTATGGGACAAGGTGTCCCCGTCCAGTTTTTACTACAAATCCTACATGGACCTAACTAGCCACAATAAATATATTCATTTGAGCTTTGTTAGGAAATGCAAGTGAAAGGCCAAATACAACATTGAGGGCCAAAAACAAACAAAGACTTTAGTTCTGATGCTATTTCCCTTGTAGGTTGAGTCAGCAATAACCAAGAGGAGGACAGTGTATCATTGTAATATGATGTCTTCTTGTCATAAACACTTGCAGAACTGCAGAGTTGCAGAATGATCTACAAGTTTTAGAGCACCATAAATAACATGTCACAAAACACATTGTACTGCTAATCCTGCCTATTTACTGCTGTGTGTCAGCACTGTCAAAGCGAATCAAAATAAATCATTACCAGGTTGTCAAAATACGATGCAACATCAGCACACATTTGTGGAATTACAGATAGGGCTACAGACAGAGCACTATTAACAGTCAGCATGGGCATCAATTTTAAATATGAATAAGGCCAAGTTAAAATATTAAACCAATTCATGAACATTTTGAAAGACTAACTGGCTTAAAAATAATGACAGCCAGCAAGGTAATTTAATTAATAGATCCCTTTGGTGATTGTTTGCTAGAATACTGCACCTTGTACTGTGTTCTTTGCCTTTGGAACTTAGGGTTCATTAGTAAAATCTAGTGGCTGCCCAATACGAATATATTGAGAACTCCGTAAACTGACAGTAGTTACAAACATGCCAATAAGAGGCCAAATGTGCTACCGCTACTTAGGAGTTTCTGGAAGTAGTATTAAACTCTCAAACTTTTTTTCAGTAATTAATCCAGATCACAGAAATATGCATTGCCAGCAAATAATTTCTTTTAATTTTTCAAACAGAAATTAACCCTCAAACATTTTGATTATCCAGAGGAAACAGCAATGCGGCATAAAAAGTAATCGTTTATATAGCCATCATTTGGAAAATATCTTAGTTGCATTTATTACCATAAATATGTGCTCTCTCCATTAAAAAAAAAGATCAATGCATAAATAACCATAATTAAAATAATAATTAAATAATTAAAAACTGCACTGGTGTTAAACATGTTTAGCGGTTAAAATTCCTCGCTGCAATGCACATATAGTCCACATAACCACAGTTGAAATCTGTAGATGGAATGTCTCCAATGAAAAAACCAATGCACATTAGATAAAGTTCCTCATTAATGCTTCATGTAAACACACATCACTGCTTTCTGATTATTCCTCTTGTAATAGTGAAAAAATGTATTGCCATTATCCCATGTATTCATTTATATTGTATTATCCACGTAGACACATAATACAAAGGAACATCTTCAAAGTAAAACTGCTGAATAGCAAGATTAGAAACAAAGTTCATAATCAATATTTCCAGGCTCATATCTCATGTGCACATCAGAAAAGAGGAGCCTCCAAATGGGTATCCATAATCCACCTCCACTCGCAGGATCACCCAGTATATGATTGATCCCAGATGGTAGAAATCCATAACCCATACAAGCCCATATAGGCTCATCAGCACATTACTCACATGTGTCCATAAAGGCTCTAGTAAGCGGTGCTCATGACGCATTTCCTCCCGGGACTTCCTTACGCAGCCTCGCCCCTCTGAAGAAATCCTGTTCAGGGAGAAAACGCGTCAGAGCATGCGTGGCTGCTGACCTGGTGTAGCGGCGGTGATTCCACATCATTGAGACATCATTGATGGGAAGCGAGCGGTTACCGATCAAATCTTTTACAATCATGCAAGCTGGCTGGAGGATTATTGTCGGCTAAAGGAGCATGCCTTTATCTAAAGGATAAGAGGAGCACCATTTACCAGAGCCTTTAGGGACCCATGCGAGCAATGTGTTGATGAGCCTATTTGGGCTTGTATGGGCTATGGCGTTTTATGGACTGCATTGCTGTTTCCTCTGGATAATCCAAAGATTTGAGGGCTAATTTCTGTTTGTTTGATTACTATAGTAAGGAAACTGTTGAGGTTGCATTGTCAGATGTATTTGGTTCCCACTCATTAAGTGCCTTCTTTTCTTTTGGCTATAGTTCTTTTAATTTTTGCCCAAGCACTTAAAGCCATCATGTTTCTGAACATCTGACTCCAACTCTCTCAACTCAGCTTCCCTGAACTTCCTGGCCAGTACAAGATCACAAGGACAGCACGATCTCCAGCAGCTGTCCATTTACTAGCTTTGAGGAGGGAGAAGAGAGGAGGGAGGGAGAAAGGAGGACTAGGACACAAGGGAGTATCTTCCCTTGCTGTGTCTGTGTTTGTGGAGACACACACAGCTTGCTAGCACATACAAGGGTGGCTTCATAGGACCCTGCAAGAAAGTCAGCGTAGAACAAGATATTAAGGCTGGTGCTCAGGGCACCAGCCGATTTGACAGGAAACTAACATTTTTGAACATCAAGAAGCAGATCCATTGTAAGTGATTTCATCTGCATTTGAAATAGCTCGAAAACATTTTTCTTTAGTATAGTATCACTTTAACTCAGTTCTAATTGGACAGTTAGTACAAGGCAAATTACCTCTGGTAAACAAATCAATAAAGCTTTAAAGGAGAACTCTGGACAAATCAAATCTTAACTCTTGCAATGGGGCTACTCCCGCACTGCAATGGTTAAGTGCTCGTTTTGTCTAGGGGGTTATACTCCAAACCGCAATGCTGGCTGCACCAATGTCATAAACGGCCAAAGAGAACCAATCTATACTAAAAACAAAAAGATAAAGACAATGGATGCACCTATAGGGCAATAAAGTGGTAGTCAGCCACCAAACTAAAATTGATATTTTGTGGAGGCGTCTGCCATAATGTGCTAGTATGCACCGTGTATTAGCACATTATGGCTGACTTACCTTACAGTTCCCTCCAGTACCCTCCTGTCCCATTGGTGCTTCCATTTTTATGTGGTCTCGTGTTCTGGTGCTTCCATTTTTATGTGGTCTTCTGCCTTTTTACGTGGTCGTTATTGGCTGGGCAGGGTATGTGTGGTTTAGTGGACACAAATGCTGACATGCAGGAAGGCAGCAATGATGACATTAGAGACATACAGAGTCTCTTCTGTCATAAAAACCCTACCTGTCTCCGTTTTGGTTTTTTTACTTTACTTCCGCTTTAAGCTTGATACCTTGAAAATGGCAAATAACCCTGACGCATCTTACATATATGATGTATAATACATATGGATATGCACCCTTATGTAACCTGCTGATAGTATATTTGCTTCATTTTCTTTTGGAGTTTTATATGGAAAAAAATCAAATAAAAGTTGTTTGAAGAAAAAAAAAATGGCAAATTGAAAGTGTTGCACTCACAAAGGTCCCTTGGTATTCAAGCGTATCTTGAACAAACAGGAGATCAGAACATGGTTCCACATATGCATGTATACTCCTATCTATTATATTCTTTTCCTACATGATCTAGATACAACTCCAGAATCATCAATTCTATTTCTATTGTTATTTATCCCCGTATCTTAAAAGAATTTGCAAATTCCACCCAAAACACGGCTGGTTACTTATATATATATATCTTGTACACATATGTGCATTTCAGTGTAATTGGTTAGACCGTCTGAAAATTCCCATTGCAGCAGTATGAGTTCCATCTAGTGGCCCAACAATGCGAGTACAGCTATATAAAATGTCTGTGATTCAAAGTATATTTCTTGGTTTCCATTTAGATTTTGATTGGGTCGCAATACTGTGAGTTTAGTTTATAATAAATAGTTTCCAGTCCCAATTTAATAATAATGATAGAAGCTTTTGTAGATGTTACTTTGTCCAAACTGTACCCTGGTATATTGTAAAATGTCAAAAGAATGAGATTCACTAAAGCAGCGGTCTCCAAACTTTTTCATTGTGTATTTTAAAAATATTCACAGGATGAAAAAAATGTATTAATTGAATTCATGAATTGTACAAGTATCACAGGGACAACAACTGAGACAGTTAAGTCAGCCAGAAATAAACACCTGAAATAAATTTTAACTCTTTGTCGCTCTAATGTGGCTGGAATTAAGGTGGCCATACACTGTACAACCATCGCAAGACCTTAGTCTTGCGATGGTTGTAAAGTGATTAAAAAAACGTACGATCTGCCCATCTTGGACAGGCAGATCGTACTCTCGATCATTGCAAGCCCGCCCCCCTGAGGGGCCGGCTTCCGATGACCGCAATGCTGAACGGGCAGTGTGCGCGTGCGCACACTGGCCCGTTCGGCATTTGTCTCCCGAGCACCTTTCAAACCAGCCGAAAATCGTACGATTCTCGCCTGGTTTTCTAGCATGCTCCTTAGACAAAAGACGTGCGACCGTACAGTAGAAATGGTCGCACGTCTTCGTTCACACTGCTCGATTCTCGTACGATCGCGGGATTTCCCGCGATTCTCGTACGAGAATCGACCAGTGTATGGGCACCTTTAGACTTTAAAAACTACTAAGGTGAATCGGTTCACATGAAGGATTTTATGGTCTGATATGTGCTGCAATTATATATTTCACATCTATTAAGTCCATATCAAATTAATCCTTTCACTGCCAAGCCCCCGGGAACGCTTTTAACCTCAGCTAGCCAGACCATTTTTGCCATTTTTCCCTTTGTTTTGATTTTCTTCTGCTGCATTGCTAGCATTTGTAAAAGACCCCCCCAAACCATGTATTTTCTGAAAGCATGAAAGCACAGGCCTGGTAAAATAAAAAAAATGACGCTACTAATTTTGTAGGTCCTGCGATAATTGCTCAAATGTTTATCAAATCAACATTAAACCGATAAAAATACACAAATAATCGATAAACATACAATAAAATCAGTATCAGTGCACAAAAAAATTCCCACTAAATCTAAAAGATAAAACTGTATTGAGTTAATAAATAACAAATATTTGTAAATTTTCAATTGTGCCTTGTGAGACAGTAAAAAAAATGAAGTAACACAAAAATGTAAATAAGCAACTTATGTTAAAAATCGTTTGTGCACTATGTTGGTGTGTGTTGTGATAAAATGATACAGGCGTACATTTAATCGCAACACAGCATATCACAACACTTTGCCATGTGCTGCCACACATTAGATTCATGTTATTTTAAAAGAAAAAATATCAAGCAGTGTGATGCGTTCTAACAATGCATGTGCATGGCGTACACCCCAATATGGTGCACGTGTATGTTGTATTATGTTTTTACATTTTTATTATTTTAAAAAAAATGTGTTTTACTGTTGGGGGCTTCGGGGAAATATCAGGGGTCTAAACAGACCCCTGACATTTCCTTTTTGAAATAGAAAAATATATTGAGGACACAGAGTCCTCATTCTCTTTTTCTGCAGCCTCAGCACTGGATGAATGGAAAGCACTCAGTACAGAGGCTTCCCATTCATAACTGGTGATAGTAAAACATTTACTATCATCCAGTTATGAATGGGTAGAAGCCTCTATCCTGAGTGTTTCCACCCATTTGAGAAACTTATGAATGAATAGGTAGTGATGTAAAGCACTTCCTGTTCATTCATAAATGGGGACACATAGTACTATGTGTCCCCAGTTGTTTAGAAACACTGAAGTGATCAGCTGATCACTCCAGTGTTTGTCCTGCACACAGAGGATTGGTAAATATCACAGAGATTTACCAATCCTCCATTCAGCCATCCAACCCGCTTGGCCACGCACACTCACAGAGCTGCCAGTGATCCTGGATTTGACAGCTGGCGGCTCTAATCTCCTCCTGACATGCAGCGTTCCCTCCTCTGCCTCTCCCCCTCACCAGCCATTTCTCCTCGGATCCCCGCTGCCTCCGACCATACAGACGGGGCAGAGCAGTGCAGATCCAAGGAGAAATAGATTCCATGCTGGAGCGGCTCCAGGTGGGAAGGAGAGGCTGTAGATTGCGGCAGCCTGCAGCGGCGGTGCCGGCAGTGGGTGGGGGGGGTCGCCTGGAAATGTTGTTATTAGCTCTCATCAGCAGCTACTATTTTACAGGGGACCATCAGGGGAACTATTCTGGTATAACTTCATGGTCACTAAAGTGACCATGAGCTTATAGCAGGACAGTAAAAGCCACCGACATAAGGCTTACTGAGTTGGCCAGCTGCAAGCGGTTGTGTTTCGCTGTAAGCCTTATGTCTGTGGCAGCAAAAGGGTAAAGGCAAATACCTTTTGGCTTTCCATGTTTTTACATTAGTCCTAAAGCCCAACTCCAGGATCATTTTTTTTTTAAATCTGCCCCAGGATTTGTAATTTGACAAATGCAGCTCAGGCTAAAATACTTACCTACTCTTCAGCACTGTCCCCAGCTGTAATTTCTTTCTGTCATTGGATTTCCTCAGTCTTCTGGGTTGAATGACTCCCAGTATCATTTAAAGCTGAACTGGGAAAATATTGACCCTTGCAGTGGGGCACCCCAGCACCACAAGGGTTATATGATTGTCCCAGGTGCCCATTTCCCCCAGTCTCTGACATTCCAGGCTGTAGGTAGGCCCTCAGTGTCCTCACAATGCAGGACTGCAGGATTTTGGGGGTTTAGCCGGGAAGAAGACAAAATAGGAATTAATCAATACAATGCAAAGGGAACCCCACTGAAAGGGTCATTTTTTTTATTTGCCCCAGAGTTGAGCTATAGCCAAAAGACTGAGGACATCCTCTGAGTCTAGAGCAGCTTGGGCCTATCCCCAGAGGGCACATAACCATACGCCCTGTACTCACTTTGTAATGCCACAGAGAGCTCACCCTGTCTATTGGTCCTGATGATTGTTATCACTGAAAGTGAAAGAAAATCCCAAATATTGGGATGTCATAAGAACAGGAATAGAAGAGAAATCTTCCAATGGGGACACTAGTTCTGGTGACCCTGATGATCACCATTCTTTGGAGGGATTTACTTTCACTTCCTGTTGTGGCTATCAGACAGAAAGTGAAGTGAAGACTCCCTAATTGGACACAGATGACAAAAAATCTGACAGGAGTTATTACCCTTCCTTACTCTATCCAAAAATAAAAATAAAATAGCATGAATTACATGCAGGGGTCCTCCACAGGGAGGTGATTCTGGGAGAGACTGGAGTCGAGCTATATACTAAATAAATTTTTAATGTAATTTATGGTGTTTTCTGCTTTTGTTCCAGGAGACTCGAGAATATGAAGTTTCAATATAAAAACTGGAGATTTCCATTTGAAGGCAAGCACCAGACACCTTTATTCAAGATGTCAGTTCTGGAATGTGATAGAACTTCACAGTGCATAATCCAGAGACTATGTGGAATTGAAATTAACCTTTTAGCCTTTTAGTTGTATTTCCTTTTGACTCTTTCTTGAAGATTTCCATCTCTGTATTTATAACATTTGCATTTAACTAGATGTGGTTTAAGAGAAACAATCTGTTATGTTGCAGGGTATTTTACAAACTTGCGTCAGAACAAAGATACTGAATCACTCTTTGGATTCATTTAGGTAAATTTAGCAAGGGAAGAAATACATTTTCGGTAGTCAATAATGTTGTTTCCTGCGGATGGTTTCCAATCTGAGATTAGTCTAAAGTATTAATAAACTAATTTATTATAATATAATATAAATTTAATTATTATAAGTCTCAGAGACAGTTGTGTTGGTCTATTAACAAACAGCAATGATTTTCAGGCAGGCACTGGAAGCAGTCAGAAATGGAAGCTGAAATTTGATTGGTAACTAAGGGTTAATGGATACCATTGCTCAATGCACTAAACATGCCCTAATGCAAATTAAACAGATGATAGGTAGCAAATATTGCAAGAGGATGAAAGCGATAATTTGTTGCCTGTATTTCATGTCATTAAATGCACCTTATTTTATTTCACATAAAAAGTGAGAGAATTAACTAGTGCTTTACAGTAATATAAGTGCAAATCTTTCCAAATATTTATTTCAAAAAACATAAAACACACGCCTGTAAATAAACAATTAAAGGGACTGTCCCTTTGCCCATTTCAAGGAAAAATGACAGTGTCTGATAGTCCACCCACCAGCAAAATATACTCACTGTTCAGAGCTCCCTACGTAGTACAGGAGTCCACCATGGGTACGCTTTGGTGTCCAAGCTTATATGCTTATATGGGTGGTTGACATCTCTACCCCTCTTCACATGACATAGTTTGGGCCTGGTTAAGCACTGTCAGATGCAGATGGTCACATGTTCCCCCATGCCCAAAAGCCCCACTTCATTCTAGCAATAGCGCAAGGGCTCAGACATTTGGGGAAGTGGTGAGGGAGTAAGGATTCATGAGTTTAACTCAATGGTGGGGGGCTGGCAACAGCAGATGCTTTTACTTTTCGCGAATAGGCAAAGCGACAGTGTCTCTTTAAGACATTTATAATAACATTAAAGTGTATTTAAACCCTTCCCAAAAATGTAACATATTGCAGCTACTAGATGTGGTGGTTGTATTAGTTTCACCAGAACATTTTCATCAGCAAGTGCATAAAATACCTGTTGATTTTGCCAGAAATGCAGTGTCAATGTCATTCCCTGTAACTTAAAAGACAGCAAAAGCAATCTTGTCTTTCTTTTGTAAATTACCAGTCCCAGCAATCAACCACATAATGAAAATAATTACAAAGTCAGACATATTCCTAGTCCAGCCTGGGTGACAACCACGGCTCCCTCCAAAGATACAGTGGAGGTGTAAGTGTACCCACCTAGGGACAGGAAGTATGTTAGTCACAACATTACCAGGTGAAAATAAAGGGGAAAATAACAAAAACAAATGCAGCCACCATATCTGAAGACTGATAAGCTGCAATATATTACATTTGTGGTTTAGATATGTTAAACCTTAAAGCTGTCAGGCAAACAGTTAAATACACTTTTGCCATTTTATATCAATAATTCTCAGAGTACTGTAATCTAAAATGTTCTTGGGTTCAGTATTTTGATGCCAAATGTTATTCTTTTTCTCTTATAAGTTCAACGGTCCAGAAATTGTATGACTGACTTACTGGAGTAAGAAGTGTTCACTCACTAATCCATTACAGTTAGGATAATTTGTGTAGATGACCACCTCCCAATGTCAGCCTATAGTTCATAGGTTTTGGACATTTACATTTGTGACAAAAACACGATGAAAAGGAGAATGAAAGGGTTCAGTAGGAATTATCAGCTATTAGGTAAAACTATAATGGATTCTGGATAGAAAGTAATGGCATGGTACCAGCATTGGGCCCTTTTAACTTGAAATTGGTAGCTATTACCCTTATACTGTTAATGTCAAGTAAGATCTCTGCACTTTAGAAGTTACTAAATGTAAGGACAATATATTGTTTTACTGTATTTAGGAATTTTTCCAAGAATTGTATGTTTGGTTGTTATAGCTGTCCCCACCGATTTGCATAGCAATCCATTTTTTTTAGCTATGTGATTCTGTCACCAGTGATTCAATAACAAATATTTGCTGACTTCAAAAATAATTACATTGTGTTTTCACTGAAATAAGGGATTCAAGTTTCCCCAGTTTGTCATGAAAAATTAACTTTTTTTTATTCGTGTCAATAAAAAAATTCCCCAAAATAGTGAACAGGACGTACTTCCCCTGCCTACCAGTCTCTGCTTCATTGATTGTTATAGAATTGCATACCTTACCTCATGCCTAAATCCCGATTTCATTACACAGCCTGCCAGGACCTGGCACAACCTTTCCACATGTACCAATGTGAAAAGGAAAACATAACTAGGAGACCTTGCATGCAAATATATTCTTAGCTACTTCATAAAGTTTCCCCATTAATAACCTGTTCATCTCGTTGCCTGTTAGGTGCAGGTAGATTGAATATAAGAGAGAAATCCGTGACTGAATCTCAGTATGTTGGATTATATCTAGAAGTTCAGAGGTAAATGCAATTGTTCTTGAAAAGTCCCCTAAGAATGCGCTACCTAAAAGTCTATTATTCCTTATAGATTTCATTGAAACTGGAAGAACCCCAACTAAATGTTCTAGCATTGCAAAATCACCCTAGCTATTCTGAAGCCTACTGAAAGCTAATGCTCTCCCTAATGTAATTTCTATCATGTTAATTGAATGGGGGGTGCTATGGAACAGACAACCTTGTGATGACAGAAATTTTAGCTCCAGAACCCTCAATTATCCATCAAATCTTGTCTCGCAACTTTAACTAGATATGACCAAAGTTGATTGAGCTATGCTGAAGGCAACTGGCTTATTTTTATCTAAGGGCAACGTGTGTCTAAGAAAATACAAATATGTCTCTGCTATACATTTCAAGGTAATGTATAATTACTTGAACCTAGATAATTAACAGCCTTTTGGTGGTCCTCAACATTGTACAAACACTTTATGAAAAATAATTGATGTAAGCAATTCTAATCCACAATCTAACAAAATTCTGCTGTGATATTTTTCATTTTGATATTGTATCATTTTTCTCTTTTGTATGAAAGGTAATCTTTGTACCTATATAGAATTTAATTGCAGAACTTTTAAAAGAAAAGTATTCCATTTCAGACTCCATGCCACTAAGCTTTTCTGCAGCATCAAAACCCCATCGCATTGCAGCCATGGTTTTCGGCAGTTCCACTGAAGTCCTTCATAAATGCTGTGTATTAACCCAAAACCATTCCAGTTATGGTGATTGTGATGCTGTCAACCTGATCCTTCTCTACTGAGCCGTGTTTTTGTGGGAAGAAGACCTTTAAATTTCTTTTTATGGTGTATTTTTATGGATCTGATGCAGGAAATGGAAATGGATGTTTGCAAAGAAAGAGACAGTTCTTTGACTAGTACATTTCGCATGGATAAAATGACTGCACATGAATGAGACTGGAAAGGACTACTAACTCTTAACGGATGGAATTGTGTTTATTTTGTTAGATTTTCATTTTCTCTTTTCAATGTCTCCTATTTTAGCCATTTAAATTCCATGGCAAATATTTTAATAGTTTATGTTTGTTTTGAAAGATAACAAAATGCATTGGACTTATACCTGGAATATTTAAAAATTCTTTTAATAAAAAACAAGAATGTGTATTTGTATGGTTGAAACCAGTGTCACATATGGAATATCTGGCATCTGTCCCCATTGGGCTAAATTATGGATACACTCTACTAAAAAAAAATTTAAAAGCACACCAGGGTACAGTAACTTTTTATATATGCACCAGTGGATATAAGGAACAGCACCGAGTGCGTAAAGTGTATGTAAATCCTAACCTTGAACTTCTCTTATTTGTTCCCTTTTGGTCTGTTAAATATACATATATGGGGAAGAGGAGATCTGTTCTACAGTCCTAAAACCTTTCCTTTCCTCGGGTGACAATGCTGCTTCTCCATACATACAGTTCTATGAGTGAGTGTTGTCATTGCATGACAAAAAGTGTGTTACTGGCAAGATCACCAAATGAAAATAAAGGGAAACAAAGCCTGAAAAAAGAAAACGAATGCAGCTATCATTCATGGGTTTAGATACACATTAACAAAGAAGGCAGAGGCATATTACCACTGTTCAAGAAATAGAAATTATAATCAAGCATTTTATACATCCAGAAATTACATTACATTACAGCCTAGTTATAAGTGAATATTATAAGATACATGTGCTGAGAGATCACGTAGGTCTCCACTGTTTACCTCTCCTTCTAAATATGCCAGTTTGCAAATTCGGAACAAATAGGTAGAACTTGTTTGTGACCCAGTTAAACATCATCTGGAACAATCATACTAGTTCTTGAGATCCCCCAATTTGATCAGTCCATTACAAAATTTGTTCAACTGTATCAAATCCCCGAAACACATTCGCAATCTAATGATATAAGAGTCTGAAAACAAACTGGGAAATCTGCCTAAGGAGAATAATTTCCTTTATACTACAGGCAGTCCCCGAGTTACAAACATCCGACTTACATACGACCCTTACTTACAACCGGGGGCTATTGCTGCACAGGAGGGCGTCACGGGATGCAGCCAAAGTGTACCACGCAGCATTTCAGTAGTTGTAATGCTACCACACTCGTGCCGATGAGGAGTGCCCGCCTTATTGGGTCTGGTTCGTAGTACTGTATGTACATTACAGGAAGTTGGCTCTTGTTAGACGTGCGGACAAGGGGTGCCTGTCTCTTCTTCCGGGTCACTGTGAGGTTTTTACTGCTGTCTGTATCCTCATTAGAAAGATTTAATCTCACTTCCTGTCCTTGAGACAACAGGAAGTGGGAGGAAACCTACACTTGGGAAGGGAAATTCACTCCTATATATATATTAGGGCTGGTATTGATTACAATTTTCCTGTTCGATTAATCGAAAAAAAATGTAATCGATTAATGATTCATCTAATCCAGCACGTTATTAATCTCACGTGCCCCACTCAATATGGCCGCCACTTGAGTGGGGCAACTCAGAATAATAACGTGCTGGATTAGTGTGATCCTAGTTCATTTTATTACTTCATTGCTGTGCTGTATGTGTATAGGCCAATGCCAGGGATCCCAACCTGAAATAAACAAATAGCTAGATTCCTATTGGCTATTTCACTTTGCAATAGCCAATAGCAAACTAGCTGTTGCACCCGTCACCTGCTGCTTTTAATCACCAGAAGAGGACCTGATAGAATAATTCAGGTCCCTCTCTGCTGATTGACAGCAGCAGTGGGCGGGTGCATTAGCTAGTTTGCTATTGGCTATTGCAAAGTGCAATCTAGCTATGCAATCGTATGCCTTTTTTTTCTTTTCTGACTGATGGTCAGGCCGCGGCTCCCGATGTCAGAAAAGAAAAAAACTATCGCAGGGAAAGGTTTAATCTGCTCGATTGAGCAGATGAAACCTTTCCGGTAAAAAGTGTTTCTCTC